ACTAATTAGTCCATAAATGGTGGTGAAGTATATGAATTCATAACTTTCCTATGGGTATTTGTGTGTAAGTGAAGATAATAAACCCAACTGGAATTGTGAATTGGCTCTTCAATTTCCAATTTTGAGTCATTATCTATTACACCACCTGCACATCCCATCTAGATATTGTCCAGACTTGATGTTGCTTTACTTCAGTGATCATTTTACTTGGATTAACATTTTCAAAATCTTTGTACATTGTCTCGAACCACCAACAAAAATAAAAACAAAAAAATAATTCTTAAAATAATTTTTTCTTTAATAAAATCTGTAAAAGATGATTTGATGCCAAAATGTAAGCTTCATATTCTGCACTAACGACTGAAATTATTGGCACAGTCTGATTGGGTTTCAAATTTATTCAGAATAATTACAAAGAGAATTGAGTTGTAATGAATTTCTGAAAAACATTGGTGGCAATAGGTATGAGGTTAAAGTAAACATATAAACAAAAGCTTTTAATTTTGAATAATTATAAAGAAAAGAAAACTGAATTGTACGTTTCAAATTAATGGCACAAGAAAATTAATAGTCAACCATATGCCTTTTGGAGTTAAAACTTTTTAATTTTTATTTTTTGTAACCTTTTACTAAATGAGGACAAACATCTACAGGGATATTTTGCGACACTTCCTGTGAATAATCTTCAAATTGTTTTTCTTGCATTGACATGTCTTTTTCAATTCATCCCATAAATGCTTACTTGGATTTAATTTTGGACTTTGCGAAGGCCTAAGTAAAACTTTTATATTCTTATCCTGAAGATATTTCTGAACTATTTTAGAAGCATATGTAGAAATATAAAGTTCCAACCATAATTCTGTTTCAGATTTTGCTCTCTCTCATTTTTTTTCTCCTATTCTATTTTTTATATTCTCCAATTAATTCTTACCAATCATCCTGTTTTCTTTTGGATAACTACAGACCAGGCTTGATACTCCTTCCTCCATGTTTTACTGTAGGACAATGTTCTTTGAATTAAAAGCCTTATCTTGATGTTTCCAAATAAATTGCTTAACAAATTGCTTATTATGTCCTTCAAATCTGAGAAATGTCTCATCTTACCATCACATATTCTTCCAAAATTAAATAAGTTTATTAATGTCTTCATTTGCAAATGAAAAAATTTTTCTTTTTAATCGTTTCACCCCAAGCAAGGCAATAAAGCCACTAAGATGCAAGGGTTTACTGAGGATGAAGAACAATTGAGTGAAGGAAACTGAGAAGGAGAATGGACAATAGAGAGGCCAGGAGTGAGAAAAAGAAGGGCCAATAGAGAAACCAGGAGTGAGGAGGAGAAGGGCCAATAGAGAGGTGAGGAAGAGAAGGGCTAATAGAGAGGCCAGGAGAAAGGAGAAGAAGGAACAATAGAGAGGCCAGGAGGAGAAGGAGAAGGGCCAATAGAGAGGCGAGGAGGAGAAGGGCCAATAGAGAGGCAAGGAGGAGAAGGGCTAATAGAGAGGCCAGGAGAAAGGAGGAGAAGGGACAATAGAGAGGCCAGGAGCGAGATGACCCAATCTTCAAGACATCAGCATACTTGTTGGCTTGCTCTATGTGCCAGATTCTCTCTGCTAAGAGTATTTGTTTTTATTTTCATTCTGGCAGCTTCAAAATTATTCTTCAGGTCCTTAGTTCTAATATTTGTGTCATGTTTAAAATTTCTTTGAAGATTGCATTGTACTGTGTCCAGAATTTTCTTTCTTCAATACATTTTATGATCTACAAACTATAGATCTAAAGAAGAAAAAGAAAAAAAAAACATACCTTTAAAACTTTGAAAGTATAAAATTATGTACAAAATATTTAGATTTCAGCATTAAATAACCCATAGAGGTTTTGATATGTCGCTAAACAAAATCAACCAATTTCATGCTCATCATTATTTACGCTGAGTCCAAGTACACACTGTTAATTCAGTGTCAATTATAAAGATTAAGATAAAAATTCAGTCTGAATTCCAAGTTTCTATCTATAACCCATTAATGCTCCCCAAATCCCCAAAATGGGATGGTGGGGGATTAACGGAATAATTTTAACCAAATTTTTCTTTTGTTTTATTGCTTGTTATCAAAACATTCTCAATTGGCTGTTGAATGTGAATAAAGAATCAGCTTCTATGGAGAAGCTCGTCTTATAGGCACAAGAGCTTCACAATTGGGCAATTCTCTTTTTGTAGCCATTTTGCTGCTATTTGTAACTTCAAATAGTTTTCTATATTATGATTTCAATTCTTGTTAATTGAACAGATCTTAGTTTCTTTTTTGAGATTCTGAAATTAACTTTTTTTATTAATTTTGACCATTTTTTCCCCCTTTGCTTCTTTCTAATGACATTTCTTATCCAATTGATTCTTTGTCTGTTAAAATAATTTTAATGGTTGCAAAATGGTGGGGGTAAGGTAAAAAGACAAGAAAGAAAGCATTCAAAATTAATTATAAAATTTAATCTCAGAAAATAAAGAAAAACTTCTTGTTTTAAATGCTGCCATTCCTTAATGATATGATAAAAAGGCAAAATGAAAAGAAGTCAAGATTAATAAGGAACACTTTTGTCTTTGACACGTTTCAAAAATAAATTTTGAAATCAGTTTCAAACTCTGCAAGAAATTGGTAAATTTTTCTTTTCCATTTTGCTTTTTGTTTTTTTTTGGGGGGGGGTGACAAAATTCTGCAGTTTATTTCTATCATAAGTTTTTTTTTTTCTGTAAATTACATGATAATTTGGCTAAATGCAAGTCGTATAGATCATGAATGAATCATCAGAAGAATCTACAGAATTTTAACGACAGAGACTAACTGTTTTTGACATGAAAAACTAGTTGAAGAGAAAGTGGATGGGGAAGGGCATCAGAACCATGAATAAACTAATGTCAAAAAAACACTCTGTGGTTATTCGACTTTCATGGGTTCTTTCTTTTTTCTCTTTTTTTTTTTTAATCCTTCTTCACTAAGCCATTCACTGACAAATTACAATGGCTGGGTTCATTTCACTTCTCCTGTACCTTCTGAGATAGCAAAATGTTCCAAAGCACTGAGGCCCTTTTGTAGAACTTACCCGACTCGCTTCTCTCTCCAACTCCACCCACCCCCATACCCCCAATGGGAATATTTGGACATCTTGAACTGTTAAAAATGGAGCAAAACCAAATTTGGTTTTAAATGAGCGTCTCACCCAATGTGCATTCATTTTTGTGCAAAAGATGTATTGAAGTGCCTTTCATGATTTCTAAGGATTTAGTCTGTGCAAAATCATTCACCAGAGAACAGCAGATATTTATCACTGCTTTCCACATTTTAAAAATACTAGATTTAAAAAAAAAAAAACAGTAAACACGTAACAAAGCCACATCTCTTGTTGGTATTTTTATTAATTATAAAAATATGGTATAAATATTATAGTCCTCCAAGTAATCTTTTCATTAATTCCTGACCACTGACAATCCCTTTCTTTATTATTTGCATGCATTTTGAAAATCCTTAACAAAGCATTTACATTGTAGATGTAATAGCCCTATTCAGTCAGTAATGCTCGAATTCATTCCTGACCACTGACAATCCCTTTCTTCTGAATTTTCAATGTATTTCTATAGTAAAATCATTAGCAGTACATTTATATTCTACATATAATAACACTGTTTTTAAAAAGGATTTCTTAATCTGGCCTTAGTTCTTCTTACTATAAACATTATTTTTAGTTTGTACACATGTTTGTATTGACATCTCTATTTTTTATTTTCTTAAATAGTGAAATTAATGTCAGCCAACCTAGATATTTCCTTTAATAGATCTTCTCTGTCTAGGCTGGTGAGCATTAATTTGCTTAAGAAAATCAAAATAGGGATGTCAACTCAAACATGTGTACCCACTAAACATTTTTTAGCAATAATAGCCGTATTCTATCAGTAATGCTTACATCTATTTTTGCACCAATGATAATCTTTTTCTGCATCATTTTCAATGCATTCTTGTAGTAAAATCGTTACATTCTACATATAATAGCCTTATTTTATCGGTGATGGTTGTAGTAAATACCTAATCAGCTCTCCAATCTCTTTTGCCACACTGAAACTGTTTTAGCTTTCTACTAATTCTATTAAATATATGACTAGATTGATTGATGTTCATCCAGTCACTGAATTGGTTAAAGCATCAGCCTTGAAAGACAAGCTCCCAGGGTGTGGAATGGAAATTGAATTTTCATCAAAAGCTACTACTTTATTCTTACTTCTTCTTGCTGATTGGATAAGTTGGGATTATTGTTAGAAATAATAATAATAAAAATGAAAACACAATTGGATGCTTATGATATCCATGAAAGATGAGTTTCCAGATTTACAATGTGGGTTCAAATCCTGTTGGGGACTATAGCTTTATTCTTACTTCATAGAAGTTGTAACAAAAAAACAAAAAAAAAACACAAATCTAATTGACAATCAGATAAACTTAGGCGAAAATTAATATTAAAAAATATGTTCATTTCAAATTCAAAACTACATTTTGAAGCTTCATTTGTTATTGATTAGGATTTCTTTCATCTTCATTTTTTATCTTTTGATAATCTTTTTAGATACTCTTTTATACACTTTTTTCCACTTTGATTTACATAAGACAAGGATGAATGACATTGTGAATCTAGCATCAGTGCTTGTCATCCGATTCTAGAAATAAACAAGAAATAATAAATGAAGATTGATGAAGACTTTTTCTTTGGTAAATAATCACAATGACCTTTGCCTGTGTCTTAACAATACATTCACTACATTTCCAAAAAGTTGAAAGGAATATACAAGAGAAAGTAAAATAAATATGATTTTCTTACATATGCAGTCTATGTACGGATGACGAAAAGGTCAAATTATTGACCTTTTTTTTTTTTTATTCTCATTATTATGATTAGTTTCTGGTACAGAACCCTTAACTGTTGATATTGCCAAGGCCTCCTCACCAATCTCATCTCTTTTTATGATTCCCTCTGTTTCTTTTACAGCCTTTCTCTCTCCTTCTCACTCCTACCCCCATTTTCCCCTAGGTTTAAGATTTGTTCTTTGGAAATTAAGGTTAACTTATCCTAGAAATAGTTCACTATTTCATTTTCTTTCATTCCTTCTCCCTCAGCTGAAGTTTCTCTACTACACTTGTTAAAATGTCAAATCTTACCTGCTATACTTGACCTGTGTTTGTATGTGTGTGTATATATATACACACACACACACACACACACACACACACACACACACACATATATATATATATATATATATATATATATATATATATATATTGATGCATGTTTCATTAAATAATATAGACAAGTTTTGTTTATTTATTTTAAGTAAGTTCCTTTCATATTGTCTGATAAGCTTAATAACATTATCATTGAAAGACGAAAGGAAATCACCATATTGATACATGTTTAAATCCAATCTAAGCTTTCAGCTTACATAAGCCATTATCAAAGATGATAATTACATTTCAATATAACAAACAACACATGGACGAAACAATAATGATAGTCTGTTTTTGTTGCATGAAAAATTTCAAAGCAATGACAAACTTGTGTATACAAGACGCGGAAGTGAAAACCACGTCGCAGCTCATGACGTAACACATGACCAGGCGAGAGTGAAAATGAGAAGTATTATGGGAAGCCATTGGTATAAACCAGTGGCTTCTGTTATCAATTATAGGCATTTAAGAATATTTGTGGAGATTTTGTAGTTTATTTTGTTCAGGTTAAGTTTCAACTGTTTTATGTATATAGCTTCAAGAATTTTTAGTTTTTGTTTGTTTTCATGTTTAAGTATAGTTTTGTTTTCAACAAAGATTTTCCAGAATTGTGTACGCGACCAGGCATATTGTTTTAAATGCCTAAAAATGTTAGAGTTATCATTCAAATGTAGTGTCAAGCATCGTGAAAGCGAGTTTGTGGTGTGACCAACATAAATATTATTTAATCCATTGAAGATACAATCTCCCAAATGGCACTTGAATTTGTAAACTATGTTGGTTTTTTTGCAAAGAGGGGAAGAATCATTGTGAAAAATTAAGTTGGCTATACAGATTTAGTGTAGTATATGATTAACCTAATTTTTTTGCTAGGGTCTGTTGTAGATATATTAGTATTTACTAATTTTTTTAGTATATTTTCATCTTGTTTATAATTAGTATGTATTTGACTACAAATTTCCTTCCTTGACATATTGATAAACACAAATAATAACAAATTTACTATTTCGTCATCCAAAAAACCTACCAGCCTAAATTCATGTACGCTTAACTACAAAAGCGAATGTCCATATTACTACAAAATAGCAATTATAAAAAATCTAATACATCTAATTTTTTTAGTATATTTTCATCTTGTTTATATTTAGTATGCATTTGACTACGATATAAGAGATTAATATGTTTGGGATTAGTTAAAGAAGTATTACGTTCTATTTGCTTAGTATTAAAAGACTTCTAAGAAAGCATTTTATTTGTTCATCAACGATATAATTTGGAAAGCTATTATTAATAAAGTGTTTGTTTTATATTCTTTAGTTCACTGTAAAAAATCTGTTTTGGAGATGAATTAGTTTCTGCACGATGTATTAGATTTTTTCAAGACAATTAACCTTTTAAGAAATCTCCTTCTCTCATGTGAATTTTTAGTTTCCTGTCTTAGTATGACAGTTGCTATAGTGTTTAAGCTACAAAGTTAACCATTTACACAAGATCAAATCTCACCATTTAGCCTTCATTCTTTATATACGATGAAAGAAATCCCAGTCAAAAAGTAATAATAACTTATAATACTTCATGTAAGAAAAATTTCAGATAATATTACTACTACTAATACTACTAATGGAAATAAAGCAAGTGAATTGAAGATGAAAGAAATCCCAATAAAAAATGAATAATCTTTGACAATGCTTCTTCTAATAAAAATTCAAGATTATATATTCCATATATACAATATATATATGCCCCCGAAAAAAATAAATTTTGGTCGAGCACTTTAGAGGGAAAGCATGAATATGTAAACAGTGACTGCTACTGCTGATGCAAAAGCTCTTCTGTGAATTGAGCATCTGAGTCACTGGCATGTTTATTCAAAATAAATACATAAAAATTCACCTTCCTCTCTACTGAGAGCTGATAGCTTAGGGGAAAAATCTCTGACTGATAACAAATCGGTCAGTTTTCAATCTTGGCTTGGAGCAATCAGATGGCTAGCCACACTGATGAGCTGGGATACAACAAAACAGTCTGTGGATTATATATATATATATATATATATATATATATATATATATATATATAATCATAATGATTATTGTCCCAAGTACTTTTGGCCAATTCAATAAATATTTTCAATATTCTGTATGCATGTATGTAATACACAACTCGTGTGTATATATATATATGTGTGTGTGTGTATATATGTGCATGTGTGTGTGTATGTGTGTGTATATATGTGTGCGTGTGTGTATATATATATATGTGTGTGTGTGTGTGTGTATATATATATATATATATATATATATATATATATATATATATAATGTGTGTGTAAAATTTTAGATATAACTAAATTATATACATCTATAAAAGAAACATTAATAAAGGCAAAGCAAAACTTATCTTAGCTCACAGGTTTCATCCTCTGATGGACTTTATCAAGGCAAATGTAAGGATTTTATTTTACAACAAGTATTTATAAACAGAAGTAAAAATGACGTTACTTTTTCAGAATTTTAAAAATTTAATAGACACTCAATTATTCATCAGGTTAACTGAAAAAAAAACCCCTCCTATACCCTCATTATTTCATTCACAACATTAACATAAAGACATACAAAATATACAACTGCAAAAAAGATAACATTATTAGTTACAATGAGAATAAATTAGATAAAAACTAATACTACCTACTAATTCCTTAACATCTACTATCCAAAACAATTTATCTAATCTTAACAATATCAAAATAATTACAACCACATCCAACATTATTATGGATATAATCAGAACCAAAAATATGCATAATAATAATAATTCTGAAATGGAGACATATAAAATAAACTGTCACAACTGTTCCTCACAATGCATTGGAGAAAATTGCAGAAATTAATAAAAAAAACTTAGCTATGAACACAAAAGGGATCTTATACACAACAATTTATCAAACACGTGAGTTATACATAGAAAACTTTGATCTAAAGAAAGCCACATTTATTAAAAGAGAAAGTAACTTATAAGGGAAATTTTCGAGAGTGCCTTTATTGAATCTTATCAAAATGTAAATCTGCACCCCGAATTTTTTCAAGTATCTCTCTTACTGAAAGAATTACTACTTTCCCAAGACAAAATAGATGACTATAAAAGTGTTAAAAAAATAAATGAATATTCTTAAATTCATAACCTCATGTTATTTACACATAAATTAATCCGAAATTAAAATAATTTAAATATTAATTGCATGAAAAAATTCAACATCATTTAATCGCTTCCATTTATAGGACAAAATTAAATGACATCACTTAGCATTGTATGTAATTTGACACTAACAACATTTTGACTTTTGTTTATAAATACTTGTTGCAAAATAAAATCCTTACATTTGGAGTAAGCTAATATAAGTTTTCCTTTTGCCTTTATTCACACACACACACACACACGTGTGTGTAAATATATATATATATATATATATATATATATATATATATAAATGTTGGATAAAAATAAATCCATTAATTCTTTAAAAATTGATTTGTTTATGGTTCAAATATGAAACTGAGCAGATATGGATTTTCAAGAAAAATGAAAGAGGGAAGAGGATGTACATTCCTTAAAAAGGGGAAATAGTATTTTGCTTAACTGTAACATTCTTCTTGGCTGAGTGGTAAAGCACACTGTATCAAACAGTGGTTTTCTCCTGCAAAGAGGGGGGGGGGCACATGTTCAATCCCTGCCAGAGAGCACCTTTTCTTTATTAACATTTATGGAATGGGCAGGCCACAGACTGATAGACATAATATACACTGTTTCAAATTAAAATGAGGAGTCTATTTCAAATGTGATTGTCCACTGAAACAATGTTTGAAATAATAAATATCTGTTTTTATATATATATATATATATATACACACACACACACAACCAGAAAATACAAAGTTCTTTTTTTTTTCCAAAAAATGTATTTGAACCAATCTGCAAAATTTTCTTAGTTTGATACAAGGCCATCATTATAGGGCATGCAGTGAATTAATTTTGTCACCCTCACCTCCCTGATGACAAATAGTATAGTGGTGGGGGTGCATATGCAATTCAAGTTCCCATGATGAGCTGTCTGCAAATTGGCTGCTTCCTTAAGCTATTCTGACAGACCCCCAGCCTACCTTTCACTCTGTCTCTCTTCATGGAATGAAAAAGTGCTGCCTGGGGGTTGGCAGTCCTGAACACTAAACTTAGATAATTATTTACTGTAATTAGCTTCAGATTTTCCTCACTTAATGATCTGCTCTGAAAGAACAAATTTAACTTTTGAGAAATGCATTTGAAATCTTTCAAATATTCCAGTTTTAATTGTAATTAGTTTCTCATTTACTCTCTCTCTCTCTCTCTTTCTATTCACTTTTCTTTTAGTCTTCCTCCCTTTCTTTCACTCTCACTTTTTGTAGTATGTATTTGTTTCTTGTCTCTATCTTATCCTCCCCCACTTTGCCTTTTCTCTATTTCTTTCCCTTGTAACTTTCTTTCTTTCTGTCTCAATTCCTTATCCTAGATTTAATCTAAAGAATATTCTTAGCCCTACCGGCTGCCCTACCTAATTTCTCTTTTTTTTGCCATCCATTAATGTTTCACTGTAGATAAAAATGCCTGTGTTTATACAGCAAATGTTTGGACACTGTCAACATCCTGTCTTGGAGAAACACTTGGCATACACACATTCATCAATGCTAAAAAAAATAAAGCAAAGAAGTGATTTTCTTGGTGGGAGAAGATGAATAAATTTATCCCAGTTCTAGAATTTGGTGGAAGCAGGTGGACGATTTGCAGATTTGAAAATTGGTGGTTTGGGTGGAATATTTTTTATCTGCTTGGAAAAATCCATTTTTTTAACACTTGTCAGATTCGGATCAAATTTGCTATCTTCTACAGAAATTGTAGATTGTCTCTCCTCTTTTTTTCCCTTTCTCCTCCCTTTCTCCTCTTTTTCTCCTCCCTTTCTCCTCTTTTTCTCCTCCTCCCTTTCTCCTCTTTTTCTCCTCCTCCCTTTCTCCTCTTTTTCTCCTCCTCCCTTTCTCCTCTTTTTCTCCTCCTCCCTTTCTCCTCTTTTTCTCCTCCTCTTTTTCTCCTCCTCTTTTTCTCTTTTTCTCCTCTCTTTTCTCTCTCTTTTTCTCCTCTTTTCTCCTCTTTTCTCCTTTTCTCCTCCTCTTCTCCTCTTTTCTCCTCCTCTTTTCTCCTCCTCCTTTCTCCTCTTTTCTCCTCCTTTTTTTCTCTCTTTTCTCCTTTTTCTCTCCTCTTTTTCTCCTCCTCCTTTTCTCCTCTTTTTCTCCTCCTCTTTTTTCTCCTCCTTTTTCCTCCTCCTTTCTCCTCTTTTTTTTCCTCCTCCCTCTCTTTTTCTCCTCCTCTTTTTTTCCTCTCTTTTCTCCTCCTCCCTTTCTCCTCTTTTTTCTCCTCTCCTTTCTCTCTTTTTCTCCTCCTCCCTTTCTCCTCTTTTTCTCCTTCTCCCTTTCTTCTCTTTTTTCTCCTCTTTTCTCCTCCTCCCTTTCTCCTCTTTTTCTCCTCCTCCCTTTCTCCTCTTTTTCTCCTCCTCCCTTTCTCCTCTTTTTCTCCTTCTCCCTTTCTCCTCTTTTTCTCCTCTTTTTCTCCTCCTCTTTTTCTCCTCCTCTTTTTCTCCTTCTCCCTTTCTCCTCCTCCCTTTCTCCTCTTTTTCTCCTCCTCCCTTTCTCTCTCTTTCTCCTCACTCTCTCTCCTCTTTTCAATCTCTCTCTCCCATTTCTCTGCCTGGTTCTCCTCCCCTCTCTCTCATTTCTTTCTCTCTCTTGTATTTTGAATATTATTTTGAAAATATAAAAACATTAACCAAATGTAAATGTCCCCCTCAATGTAAATGTCCCCCTCAAAGCCACCCAAATCTGATTCTTCCTAAAATGCTTAAAATTTTCTCTTAATAAGATATTTTTTTAATTAAATTTTAAGCCTGAAATGTTTCCACCTTTTTCACTTTTACTATTGATTTGCAAGAGGAATGGATTGTCAGTGGTCAGGAATTAATGCAAGTGTTCCTTACAGAATACAGCTATTATACACTTTATAGAAATATACAGCTAATGGTTTTACTGTAGAATTTCACTGTAAAACATTTTATTAAAGTAGAATATCAGAAAGAAAGTGACTTTCAAGGCAATCATTACTGACAGAATAAAGCTGTGCTTCTTGTTTTTGCAAGAAAATCTAACTTAGTTAGAAACCACAACAAGTTTTTCCTTCTTCAAACCAGATACATGTATAATGTGAACGATTTTACTGTAGAAATATGTTGTAAATGGCTTTACTATAGAAATACATAGAAAGTCATCAAGAAAGAGATTTTCAGTGGTCAGGAATCAATACTATTGTTACTCATAGAATAGAGGATTTTTGTGTGTAGATTCTGGGTGGGGTTAATATTTGTCTCCATGACACCACAACTAGAAAAATGTTTTCTTTTTAAACTGAAAATTTGTTTTTTTTTCTGCTTCGTCTCCCAATGGTAAAATGTTTTTCTTCTGACATTTTGTTTCAGTGCGTCGGCACAAGCGCACAAAACTGAGCGACCTGGAGCCAATGGACACAATCTTTGTCAAACATGTGAAAGACGACAGTCCTGCCCATAAGGCCGGCCTAAATCCAGGTGACAGAATTGTGTCCGTCAACGGAGAGTCAGTAACAGGCAAAACCTATTCTCAAGTTATTGCTCTTATTCAGTCCAGGTAAGTGGATGTGTGTGTGTGTGTTTCTTTTTATATATATATATATATATATATATATATATATATATATATATATATATTCACCACAGAGCACAAGAAAGACCAACAGGAAGAGAAATATCATATGGTTCAACCGACCATACAGCAAAAACGTAAAAACAAATGTAGGTAAAATATTCTTCAAACTTTTAAACAAAATATTTAATAAAAACACTGTAAAAATCAGCTACAGTTGCACTGAGAATACAACAACCAATTAAAAACCTGCAAACTTTGCTTGGAGGAAAAAATAGCTACTATTACCTTCCCAGGCCAAAATAAATTACTAAATAAGCAATTTCTGCTCATCTCAAAATGCAGACACAAAAACAAATTTTTACTACGTTACTTAAAAATCGAAAACTGAAATGAATAAATATAGACAAAATAATACAAAAAATCCAAGTAAAATAAATTAACCCAAATTAACAAACCACTCCCATTAGAATAGATGAAATAGAATAAATAAAAATAAAAAAATAATAATCAATCCAAATAAAGTAAATAATAATAAACAAATTAACAAACCAATCCTACCAAAATAACTGTCAGAATAGACTACAACAACCAATCCAAAAATTGGATGTAAAAATGGCTATAACTGCTATATAATGATAAAAAAACATTAATATGTTACTCAAAAATCGAAAACCAAATAGAATAAATAAAAATATACAAAATAAAAAATAAGTAAATAAATAAAAAACAAAATTAATCCAAATAAATAAATAAATGAACAAATTAACAAACTGTCACCACTAAAATAACCATTAGAACTAATAAAAATAAGCATAAATAAGCAAGAACAAGTAAAAATAATAAATCCAAATAAATAAATAAATTAAAAACTGCCCCCTGCCAAAATAACAGAATAGGCTACGGTAAGCAATCTAAACATATAACGAATAAATAGCCTTAATTATCTTCCCAGACCAAGACTATTAAATAAGCGACCTAAGCGAATACCCCACCAATTTTTACTACGTTAATAAAACATCAAAAACTGAAGAGAATAAATACAAAATGAAAATGAAAAATAAATAATCAAGCCACTCCTGCAAAAATAACCGCCAGAATAGATTACTCTCAATGCACCGCTGACCCATATATATAAATAGTCAAGGAAAAATCCAACATTCACAGCCTGACGATTGCTCTTAGCATAAAACAGCCTGTCAACTCTGAGTGTTGACTTCAATGTGCACTTATACTCCTGAATATAGTCTATCAGAATGAATATTAAAATGGGGAAGTTGATTGAAAATTGGCATTTTAGATTATGGCTTTTCATCTAAGCTTGAACACCAATCTCTGGCACCAGTGTAAAAATATACAGCTTCAAGGTAAGTTTAACACAAGATGAAAATTGGGGATAAATGAAATTGGGAAGATTGTGTTGATCCATTCTTCCAAGTGGAAACGATCTTCTCTTTTAAAAATTCTTGGTTTCACTTGGGTTTGAACTCTTATTTGAAATTCATAATTATCTCAGCTGCAAGGCAAACTATGTTTGGGATGTTGAGTGGGTTCTAGAATTGGTAAACCTCTCTCAAAGATTTTCAAAGGTTCAAATCAAGTTTTCTCTCTTTTCATTCTTTTTAATCAGACACACACATCCTATCAGCTTTCTGTGAACTTATATGGATGAGAAATAGCGAATATAAAAAAAAATAGTGAATATAAAGCCTAAAATACAATCTAGGAAAGGTATTCTTTACAGACATATCAAGCTTTCATGCTGAATTAAGTAGTTTTGGATGTGACTGATTTGTATTGGTAAATATTTTGTGCATGTGGAAGATGGCAAAAGAGCTGGATATTTTGGATAGGTCACCAAGAAGAATTGTGAAAAAGGATTTAAAGTTAAAAACCATACAAAATTCAACGACAACAGCTGCTCTCAAACAAGAAGGAAAATATGTTGTAGATGATGCAGCATGCTACAATTCTTTGATCAGATGAGTAGTTTTTCACTGTGTAAGTTTTGGCCAACTGCCAAAACAATAGAGTTTACATTCCCAAAGATGTTGAAACACATTTCAAGCAAGAAAACCAATTGGTGTCATGGTTAGGGCTTCTCTTGCTTCTAAATCGTCCTTAGTGTTCATTGAAAAAGAAGTGAATAAATGTGTGTGTGTGTGTGTCTGTGTGAGATAGAGAGAGAAAGATGTTCCCCTGGCTGCCAGCCACATTTGGAAGTTAGTATGTCTTTACTAAAGACAGTTCCCACATGCACAGCCAGTTTGATGCAAAACTAGTGCCAGAGACATTTCCATGGAGTTTTTGACAAGTCAATTTGATTTCCATCAAGCTCTGACATTAATCCTATGGACTTTGCAATATGGCTTATATTGGAGAATGATATTTCACGCATCTCATACTCAACTGTGCCAAGCCTGAAGGAAGCCCTTATGACATTACAGTACAGTTTGAACGAAGAAGCAGTAAAGAGGTCATGCACTTCAGTTGAGAAGAGATTAAGGGCTATGGTAAATGCAAAAGACGGACAATCTGAATATACGCAAAATATTGATATCTGATATACGTAAAATATTGTTAATAAATATGATGATCAGCCTGTAAACTTTCATTACCCAAAACCTAAAACTTTTTATTTTATGATAAAATGAATAATGGGTGAGTATTTTAAAATTAAAATTATTATTAATAAATTAAAATTTAACTATGATTTATTATTTATAATTATGATTATTCAAATTTGTAACTGAACTTATTCCCAAGTTTCCGAAATTTTCTTCAGACAAACTCATCTTTCATTTTACTAAAGTCATTTCTGCATGATTCCTATGAAATTGGAGAGTACCCTCCCTACCTTTCTGTATAAATTAAAACCACCTGTTATGGGGGTAGTGGCAAATAATAATGTCTGTGTGTCTTACGTTTGCACTGGAAAAGTCTAGGATTATTACAGATAGCTTGTTTGAATTATGTCCCTTTGCCCTGATTTGCTTCCCTTGGACTATCAAAAAAATTCAGGAAAAATGCTTTCTTTTTGTATATATTTTGTACTTTTTTCTCTTGTACATATTTAAAATAAGAAAAGAACAATCATCAGTGAATGATAGCCTTGTGTTTGTCTTTCTTATCAAAGTCATGTAAATCTGAATTAACAAATGGTTTAATAACTGAATACAAGAAATATAGAAGGAAATACAGAAATAAAAATTGAGTTTATGGGTTATCACTCCTCATTCTTTAGAACTCAGAGAAAAAAAACACATTAGGAGTGATAACTCATTAATTCCTAAATTCTTTCTTTTTTCTTTTCATATTTTCGTCTATTTTATTTTTAATGTCTGTCCTTTTTTTCAAATTAATGGTTTATTTTGCATCTGAAATAAAATATATTGCTTAAAAAACTTATAACTTATGCAAATAATTAAACTATGAGAAGCACTCTTTGAAAACTAAAGTTGTTACAAGCTTATAGACAACCATGAAATCATAAGTAGGGCTGAAGGTGACTGCTTAGGAATGGACCTTCTTAAAGACTATATTCTTTGTCATATTTTTGTCACCTCTTCTCATGAAAAAACAATTCTGAAAACCTTTAAAATTTGTCTTGAATTTGCACAAAATGGATGACAACAATCTCAATAACAGTTGTTAATTCGTCAAATTTTGGCAGAACCAAAAGGCAAAAAACAAATCTTCAGAAACATTTTTTAGCTTAAAACTTAATTGTATGTTTTGATTTGGTGTAGCTACAAAAAAAAATGGTTGATCAAATTGATGCCTTTGAATAACTGATTTTTGTTTCTAAAAGAAACAAAAATAATGAAAGCTGACAAATTTTAACCCAAGATCATAAAGAGAACTTTGTTAATTTTCTGAATTTGTGTTTTTCCAGTGATTCATCGCTCAAGTTACTTGTTGTCCCCAAAGATGAAGACATTCTTCAAATGGTAAGTCAGATTCTATCCAATACCTTCATAATTATTCTGTGACATTCTCCAGAAATCATATTTGTATCCTTGTCTTGTTGTTTTTAACATTTCAGTCTTATGTTCTTCAGATAGATTATTGTATATTTACATTCACACACACACACACACACACATATGTATATGAGAAAAGTTGCTGATAATCTGACAGAATGGCAAATACATGAGACAATTTGGAAGTTTTTATTTTAACATATCTTAATATTTTCTGATGATGCTGCTCCATTGGCAGAACATGAAAAAATAAAAATTCTCCCAATTGTTTTATATATTTATCACATATCTATATTTATCACATATCTATATTTATATATCATACCAATGGTGGGTAATTGAATGACAAAATGTTACATGTTTCATCATTTGGAAGGACTTCTTCAGATTAAATTACGTTTTTTATTGATAGAATCATATGGGGGGAGGTACAAAATACATTCACTTACCCACTGTGTATGTGTGTTTATAGTGATCATCTGACTACACCACAGAGGTTTTATCAGTAATCATGGCTTCTGCCGCAGTTTTTGGTTAAGAACAACATTCCCTAGGTTTGACAACATCATATTCCCCAGATCTTGCTCTTTGCAATTACTTCGGCTTCAAAAATCAAATCCTACTTGAAAAGAACAAGATTTCAAAACATTGAGGAAATCCAAGAGAATGCAACATGGCAGCTGCTCGCTATGCTAAAAATGGAGTTCCTGAAATGCTTCCATCAATGGATATGATGCTGGATAAAGTGTGTGGCTTCAGACAGGAACCAATTGAAAGGAGATTAAATGCTGAATTGACATGTGTTATCGCTTTCTTTGTATAGCACCAATCCTGATACCTTTTGATCAAACTCTTTGTGTGTGTGTATATATATATATATATATTGCTGTGGTAGGATCCACCTAATTTGCATAGTGGAGTACCGACCATATAAATATGGTTGGTACCGGGAAGAGAGGGAGGAATCAAGAGATTCAACCAGAGACTCTGCCCGACTGCGACTCAGTCAACACATTCTCTAGGAACGGTCTTACCAGGAATATACAAAAGACTATATGTAAATATTGTGTACACTTTCTTGTTTCAATACATTTTGTTCTAAGTACATTTTGTGTTGCATTATTATTCCATGCATTAGTCAAGTTTCAACATATATATATATATATATATATATAAAATTATATATTATATGTGCGGTACTTATTAGAAAGCGCTCAATATCAGAGATAGAGCTAACATATTTGGTTGGATTGATGTGAGTTTGTGACCCTGGGTTTCACGCTTTTGTGATTGTCAGACAAACTGATTAATTTTTTTAAATTTTGGATTTATGTAGATTGCGTGTATTGTGTATACATACATATGTCAAGTCCCATACTGTCCACATATGTTTATGTCTATATGAGACCCGGCAGACAAGCGAGTGTGTATGTGTGTCTGCATACCTCGACGGGTGTACGGAAATGCATCTATGTTTACGTTAACATGAGTGGCATCACAACGCCGATGCAATACATGCAATCTTCATAAATCCAAAATTTTTAAAAATGAATCATTTTGTCTGACGATCGCAAAAGCGTGAAACCCAGGGTCACAAACTCATATCAATCCAACCAAATATTTATATATATATATATATATATATATATATATATATATATAATGATAAAGAACAAATAGGAAATGTTTATTGATCTAACATGTTTCACTTTTATTAAAGCTTTTGAGAGAAAACAGATAAAAAGACAGGACTTTGGTATTTTTCAATTTTGTTTGGGTCAATTCTCAATGGTCAGACATTTATTACCTTGCATTAATTCTATAATGTGTATGTAAGTTTATAAAAATTTTAATATGTCCAAGCGAGCATCAGATGGTAATGTGTATTTGTAAAAGTGTGTATCTGTCAAGTAGGAGGAGCTCTAATGTTAGACAGACACACATACACAGTTTACAAATACACATTACCATTTGATGCCCACTTGAACATATTAAAATTTTTACTTAACCTATGTGCCATATGCTCTTTGGGATCATTATTTTCCCCAGGGCTTCTTAAGATTGACTGAAAACTTTTCAGTCAATTTAGTTTATCTTCAGGCAAACCTGAGCAACAAAATTTTGTGCTTACATGAAAATATTTTTTTTTAATAAAATTTAAATAAGGCTTATTCCAGTTTAAGCAAAAAAATTTCCTTATGATCAAAAAGCCTCATTACTTATGGTTTGTTGAAACAAGGGTTCCTGTACAATCACTAAAGTTAAACAACATCAAGCTTGATCAGTACCTAGATGGGTGACTTCTTGGGAGAGTACTAGGTGCTGTAAGCTTGGATGTGCAGGTGGTGTAATGGATAATGGCTCAGAATTGTTAATTGGGAAGCCAAGTTCTAATTCCAGTTGTGTTCATTATATTCACTTATGTGCAAATTATCTTGGGAAACGTATGAATCCACCTCTTCTCTCCCCAGTTGTGGGTTAATTAATAAAAATTGTACCACTAGAACCATTATAATTTCTAAAAAAAAATAACTAAAATAAAATTACATACAAAATATATAGATTTCAGCTTTAAATAACTTGGGCTGATATATCACTAAATGAAAACATCCAAGTAGCATGTAGTTTTAGCTTCCTCTGATAAAACTGTAATGTCAAATCACTAAAAAGAATTACACAGCTTAACATCAAAATATAATAAGGCTATTTAGATGAGCAATGTTATACTGGCCATTTGCTTCTCTTCAATGTTGATTTGTTCTTTTAAACAGGCATTTGTGAAATAGTGTAATTTTAACTGGTAATTTTGTCATAATTTCAGACAGATCTCTCAGAGATCATAATGTAATGGTAAGTTGTTTCAGCAATCTCTGTGGCCTTCATCAGGACCCTTTATTGGAATATTTTATTAGAGTTGCATGATAATTTCTTGTTTATAATTTTTGAGAGATTGCTAATAATAAAACATTGTTGATGTAATATTATCTTTTTTATTTTCTAATTTTAGGCCTATCAGAACACAGCCTACAATCAGGCTGGACCCGAGATTTTCCCAGACCCTGTTTCAGGACTGAGTATTAAGCATATAAACCATCATAATCTTCCAAAAGAGCCACCAGTTTATATACCCGAGCGTGCCAAGGATCGTAAAGTGTCTTTTACCGTCGAAGAAACTCATTCCTTTGAACCCATTTTCACAACTACCACCACCATCCAGGAGATCACTCCTTGTCCACTGGTCACTTCAGCTTCGTACACATCAGGAATTTGCCTTCAGAGAGAACCATTAAAAAACGACAACATGAACAAGTCTTCATTTTTAGATCGTAAACGTGAGTTTGAGCAACGGGCCTCGCAGGTGCCGGATGGTAAAATTGATTCTTATTCATTCGGCCTTTATTACCCACCGAAAAAAGACCAGCAAAAATCGAATAGCATCGATAATATTTACATAACGAGTAGCAGTCGACGGCGAACCTCACGAGAAAATGTATTACAGTCTCGTGAGTCATTAGAAAATGTGAGCCGGTCAGAGTCGCAATTCCAAACTTCGTACAATGGCAAAGAACGTCATGGATTCTCAACCGCGCTGCGGACCATCTCATCAGAGAATAAACAGTTCCCAAGATCAAGAACGACATCATCATTATCGTCTATTGCCAATAATACCACTCCAGCTTCCTCGCGTATTGAACTGACCCCAAGTGACCATAGTAGTAACACTAGTACTGGGTCCAACAACAGTGGTGTTTCTACTCATGAGAGTTCCACTTTAGGAAAAATGCATTATATACCTCTACTAGCCACGCAGACCCCATTGGCACCAAGGTCATTGCAAATTGCTTCATATAACAGGAGCAATCAATATTCATGCCAAACTTCAGAGAGCCATAATAAATGGCCACCAAGTGGCAAAAAGGAAAAACCAGAACTGACTAGTCCGACTCAAGGCCAGTTTGTCTTCAAGGCAACCTATGGGACCCCTACTGGGAATCAAAATTCTTCCACATCAACCACCGTGCTTCCAAATACTTACTACAGCCGTCCTCTTGTGGTTCAACGAAAGCAGCAGTTTGAAACAAACAGCAGCAACAACAGCAGCAACAGCAGCAGTGGTGCTGCCACACCAAACAGTGGGTGCAGTGGTACAATGACATCAACGGTGTGCATTGTCACGCCAAAGATGCTGCCACAAACAAATAGATACAAAACAGAGATTGAAAAAATCACCTCTCGTGCCAAATTTGAAAGCGTAGCATCCCGGGCAGCCCAATTTGAAACTAGATCTTCCTTGGAGAGCATCAGGATTACTCCCCCTGTTTTTACGCCCCCAGCAAAAATACATCGTATCTCAACTGAACGGACTCCAGAACAGGGCAACAAATACCAGCAAGTTAGCGAACGGACATCCACTTACAAGGCATCTCTTACCAAAAGCCTCAGTACACCAACGTCTCCAAGTCAGGAAATGTTGCCAGTTCAGTCAGACAAATTACTGGATAGTTATTGTCGGTACGACTCGACTCCAACTGTCAGTAATTCACAGGAGTATTATGCAGATGATATCTCTGCTCCTCAATCTGATAAGGATTTTAAATCTATACCAAAGGCCAACTATATTACCGCTATTAATGCTGATATAAATAATGGTAAGTATTTAATTTGCAATTTTATACAAGTTTACCTGTGTCTTCATAAAATACTGGCGATTTTCAAGGTTTTGATATTTTACAGGTCCAACATGATTTTAAAATTGCAACTTATTTATGCAAGCTAAAAATAATCTGGGAGTTTAAATAATTTCAGACATAAATAAATTACAACATTTGTCAAGTTTAAAAATAAAAAAACTATTTCTACAAAAATCTACTAAAAACTATTTCTTCATTACTAGATGAGACCATTATATCAAAAAATGGCAAACTGCCTATCATCATCATCATCATCATGTAGGTTTTTTTTTTTTGTAAAAATATGAAAATGTGTTGCATGTATAAAAAATATATATTGAGTTTATTTTGGCCACAACATTATGGAGGGTTTTGTTTTGCTTTTTTTCTACAGTTTGAACCATAACTTAACTTACATGGTGTGTGTGTGTGTGTGTATATATATATATATATATATATATATATATATAATATATATTTCTTAAAAAATAATTTGGTAAACTTTGGCCTTCATACTTAGAAAAAGTTGTCAATTCTCAAGAACAAAAAAAAATGTATAATTTCACTTTCATATGTTTAGGTTTTATTCCAATTCTAATCATCGCTTTTAAAAATGATAAACATTGTCAAGGAGTGAAGGTCGTCAAAAATGTCAGTGTCAATAGAAAAACCATCCTTTTGACTATTTTTTTGCAGACATGAAGGTCCAAGTTTGTCAATTCTCCAAGCCTTCTTTCTTCTTGTTCCCTAGAAATTTCAATTTTCTCTTTCTGATTTTTTTGTTTCCATTTTCCTTAAAACTTCCTCATTGCTCACATGTTCAGTCCATGGTATTTTACAGCATCCTTGTGTAGAACTATATTTCTCTTGCTTTTAGTTTTTTTCTTCATCCTCTAGAAGAGTTTGATTTATCAAGTGTAACATAGTATAAAATTCTGTTTTTACTATATTATCAGAAGAGTCCACTACACAGAGATGTAGATGAAACTAAGCTGTTGCAATGTTACAAATGCCAGGCCTCAAGTGAGAATTGAACTCACTACATAATTGTAATTTTCTAACAGTAGCTTGGTAATCACTGTTTCATGATAAGGTTTTCATATTAACTGACAAGATTTAAATTTTAATATGAACAATATTGGGGGGCGGGGATTTAGTTTATGATGTAATGGAATAACCTGTCACCCAATAATTAACTACGCTATTGGTAGTAACTACCTATAAGTATCAGTAAGTCAGCAGACTACGGAGTTTAGCTGGGATCTCTTGAGTACAACTCAGACTCATGCAAGAACTACTGACTTTCCAAGAGTAGCATTCACTACTGGATCGACTTGTGATGACCTTGTGCATAACTGTTACCTTTTACTTTTATTGTACTGTTTTTTTTACAATAAACCTTTACTTTATCCACTATGTTTGTGAAGTATGTTTTCCTATTAGCACAGAATATAACAGTTTATGACTGCAAAATTTGTTATATTTAAAAAATGTTCCTTTTTAAAGTTCATTTGTCTTTGGATAAAGTATTATAAAACCATTATTGTTTAGTATGATACAAGGCTTAATTTTTTTAGCAATAAATGAGAATTATCCTAACTGCATGAAGAACTTGTTGACCATCGCTCCACATTGAGATAATCTTGTATTTACTTATATCAGCTTCACAACACAAATCTATAAATGCACCCAATATTCAAAATTTGTCCCCAGACTTTTTTTTTAAAGAAATTTTAGATTCTTAATAATAACCACCCAAACATGGTTTCTTCAAAGTTGGCTGGAAATAAATTTATATTTACTAAGCTTACATTGGTATGGCACAAGGCTACCATTGTTGAGCACGAAACTATTGTTTGTTCAAATTTTTGGTGTTTAGTTTATTAAAATAAAAATTATATTGCAAATTTGTTTCAACAAGAAGACATTATCGAACATAAAATATTTTGGTAAATAGCACAAACTTTAAACTAGATGTTTTTAAACTTAATCAGAGAGATAGTTTCCAACAAAATGAAGTTACTGCAGCTGGTGACATCGGAGATTGCGTTAAATGCTTCGGTCAAGTCCGGTTTCTTTTTTGCAATATTGTCCATCTGAAATACATATTTTAGGAGAGAATATAGTTTGAATTATTTCCCTTGGCTAGCTGATCGTAAAAGTATTGACAATTATTTTCCTTGGGCAAATTCACTTCTGATCAAAAAAATTGTTAGATGTAAAATATTGAAATAAAATCAAAATATGTCTGGAAAAAAATTGCTGTAAAATAATTAATTCAGGTTGAGTTTTTTCTTAGATTTTGTATTATTGCCTGAATTATCTCCCTTGATATCTTACAACAGTTCAAACTGATTTTAATAACGAACCTTTCTGATACAATCAGTAATTCAAATAAAGTTTTTGCTTGAATTTATCGTGGAAAATAATACAAAAAGAATTAAATAAATTACTTATTTCATTCTCTTTGCAGAATTTTTCACGATTTAATCCCAAGTTTAACTTTGATGACACTTTAATTCCAAATTAAATTGAATTTATTGAAAGCTTATCTTTTTCTATGCGCCATTGCTCCCCATCCCACTCCAACACGTCTTGAAAAAAAATAATGTCAGTAATGAATGACATAAAAATAAAATAATAAATATTATTTCTTAAAATTTTTGGAAAATTTAAAGAAGTCAATTTTCTAGTCTTAGTGTTACTTTCACATAAAAAATACCAAATTATAAGCCAGCATAAACGTTTCTCTTTATGTGCTCTCAGGATGTAGACGATCATGGCTCTCCACAACTTCCTGTCCCTTGTAGCACTTAATAAGTTAGCTTTTCCATATTCTGTATGGAGATTTTAGTTACCCTTTACATATATTTGTGTAATCAATACAGTGTTATATATATATATATATATATATATATATATATATATATATATATATATATATATATATATATATAAAATTAATGGTATCTGGCCAAGTGGTTAGAACATTCACTTTTTTGACCATGAGACCTGGGTTCAAATCTCACTGTGGTCAATTTGTAATGAAGATGACTTTTTAATATTATCAGCAATCCTAGCATGCGGCACCTTTGGAAATTTCCTGTGAATTGAACTAAGGGTTGACCAAAGCCTTGCCATTGAAATCCGTTAAAACTATTTGGGGGCTGTCAATGGTTGTGCTGGCATAAAGCCACAAGTCAGATTGTTAATCATTCCAGATAATCTGCGCTCTCTCCCAGAAACTAAGAGCTGCTCAGCATATTTGCAATATAAGCTATGGGTGGGCTCTGTGTGTGTTGAACAAACACAAATGTGCCTGAAAAGGCATCTGCAACAGGGATAGTAGACTAGCATACTAGGATATGTGCAACCAGCTATTATATTATATAAAAAGTTTTTTATCTGCCTTTTGTCAGTGTTAATTAGCTTCACAATTTCCAGTCTTGACAATTCTAGGTGCTCACAAGCAAAATTATATTTCCGATATTTTATCCAAGAACATTTTGGTATCAAAGGGAAATCTGCAACTACTTCAGCTACAGTGCATGACTTGCATCAAATTTCAAAGTTTAAAATAAAATTAATTTAGAATTTTTCTTTTTTTTAAATTTTATTTTTTAATGATGACAGATGAACAATTTACACTTTCACTCATTGCCACTTGAACAAAAACCTCCAAGCAATGTTTGACAGTTGAAAGAATTTCTCTGACATTGTATAATTAAAAATGTAGCCTTGAGATATTTTCTGTTTCAAGTCACTTGATGTAACGTTTAGACATTAAAGCTTATATTTTCTAAAATTATATTCTTCATAGGACACTTGACAGTTTGAAATTAAATGCATTTATTATAAAAATTCTTTCATAAACATTTTATGATTTCTGTAATGTTACAGATATAATGCATTGCTTTCAGTTATGGCTTTATCTTCTCTTGTAATAGGGACACTACTCTCCCTGTCTTCCCCCAAATAACCACCCGAGATTTTAAATTCTTGTTTCCCAACAGTTTAGCATTATATTATCTCTGAAGAATAGTCAAGGTAAAGATTAATAGATGAGGCTGAGAATTCTCATACTAATAATTTGTATTACAATGATATCATTTTTGTTTGCATATTTCTTTTAGATGATTTTTCTAAATATTTTTATTACGATTTATTATTTTTATCTTTTTGTGGTTTTATCACCTTTACTTGGGATGAAATGATTTTTTAAAAAAACATTTTTTTATCCAGAATTTTTTTTTTTTTTTTATAAAATATCATCATTATCCATTAGATCGACTGCTGTTAGAATCATAGTCATTGTGAACTCCGTGACCTCATCAATGGCCGTATATTATGCGCTCTATCAGGACTATATACAGTTTTAAATTCAGAATTGTCTGAAGGCAGCCTTCTTCTTTACTATTTAACCCATAGCTGGGTGGGAGAAGAAGCATTTGATTCTTACCTTTTCCAAGGACATTTACACAAAAAGTGAATGTAATGAAACCCAACTAGCATTCAAGTAGTTTTGCCAATTTCACATTCTGACCTACTATCCATTATGTCAACTACACATTCAATTTTTTCTTTTTTTTTTTTTATATATAAAATAAATGTGTGTATGATTACTTTATGCAAAAGTTATTATTTTTTTCATTTCTTTTATTAATATTTGCCTATTTTATTACAAAAAAAACAAATCAGTTTTCTAAATTCTAAACACATCTGTTAAAAAAAATAATGTAATACTAGACTCCTGTTGATGAGGAATTAAAATTACAAGTAAAACTAACTTCAAAATGGAGAATAGTTTCCCTTATTTGCAAATAATTATATTAATTCTGTAAATGAAGAGGTTGTAGTAGTAGTAGTAGTAGCAAAGATAATAATGGCAACAACAATGAGAATTAAAAGAAAACATTAAACTTAATTCAGTCAGGCACAAGGTTACAAGTTTTAAGCATCAATGAGGTTTGAATTCACTATACACTAATAATAGTCTACTAGACTTTCTTTTATCTTATGGTGAGGCACAAGGAGGTGGGGAGCAATGAACTAACATTATACTTATTACTAAGCAGTGATAGTCTGTAAGATGTATTTGCTAAGTATAACTCCTACAGCAAGGGACTCAGAGAAATTATGTTATAATTTTATGATTTAAACATTGACAGTTTGATCCTGACAAACACAGAGATAAGTTCTCTAATTCCTTTTTACAGTAACTCCTTTGTATCAGGCTACATTTGGGATTTTTTATCTAAGTTTATCTGCCAATTTAACTGCTTTCAACTCTTCATAATGAAACTGCTGTATTCTACTGTCTTTTTATTTAAGCCAAGATAATCACCAGATTGTGTGGCTAAAGCTGTTAAGAGCAGCCCTTTTGGAATTTGCAAGAGGCCATTGACAGTGAGGTTGTATGACTACTTGCACAAATAATCTAGGATGCAGTTTCTGCTCAACTCAAAATTCAAGGGCATAATGAATACTCCTTATACACCCTCAAATAATAATACTGTGTTTATGTACATGCATATAAATGTCTCAAATATCACCTCCACTGGGCAGGTCACATGTCCAAAATGCATTCCACTTCACTCCTATGTATCAACCTGTTTGGAAAACTCACTAGTGACAAGAGGCTATGCAGAGGCCCAAAACAATGCTTCAAGGATCAGTTGGAGACGTCCCTGACACAGGCCAACATCAACCTTGAGACCCGTGAAACTGTTGCTGCAAACCAGCCTCCCTGGCATAGGACCATCCGGGATAGGGGACTGAGACTTTCAAGTCCAACCATCAACATGAAGAGGGTCTGTGATGTGCAGTCAAGAGGGCCCAACTTCCAAAATCCCAAAAGGGATTGAGGAGAGAGGATGACAAACTCAATTCTTGGATGCAAGCAGGTGCCAACTATAAATGCATATTATTATATATGTCTGAAACGTTTGTACTGAAAAAAAAAAAAAAGATTTGATGTATATGTAGATATTGAGGTTGTATGTAACTGTTAAAATGCATACCTGGCACAAGAGTTTTAGGCTACTCAAAATAATGTTTATTTCCAGGAGATCCTTTCTTTCAACTGGTACCTCCCCATTGCACTAAAATGGCTAATTCCTATGGCATGCCAAAAGGCAAGATTTGAAAGCATTATGCTGTGGCATGTAAGGTTGACATTGTAAAAAAAACTTGTGCCACATTCAAGGCTGAGAGAAGGGAACAGTTTTATCCCCTTCTGCATGTACATGTAATGAATGGGAAGAAGGATAAATACAGATCCATTTGAAAGTTCAGATGATTCTTGGTCATTCATAGCTGAGGATCTACAATTATATTGTTTAGTTCCAGGAGAGCCGTTCCCCTAAGAATTACTTCCCAATTGTAGATTTGTACATGCAGTGGAAACATGGATCAATACCTATTGAGTAAATGCAGATGAAAGAAATATTTTGCCACAAAAGTATCTTGGACTTTACAAGCAAATAAATGTATTGACTGCTTTAAGGCTATGAAGCCATGGAATATGTAGGACAAGTCTTGAAGGATGGAAGAAGTTTTTTTTTTTTTTTTTTTTTAAATTTGTCTGAATTTCTTAAGATGATGATGCTTAAGATGTTTTATGATTTATTGAATCTATGTTTAATGAAGTTCTCCTCCACTGAAAGATGGAGTACCTAGAAACCAAGCTGGCTCATCACTGACTTCAATGGGAGAGATACGTTGCCTGAATGTCAGACATTTGCCTACAAATCTTCTTCTTGGAGCTTGCATCTGGCAAGAGAGCACGGGAAGCCCCACGTCATCAGCCCGAGGATCAGCTCAAAACCACCTTGCTGAGGACAAATCAATCCAGTCATTTAGAAGACGGAATCTGTAAAAAGAACCAATTGGAGAAGAGCAGTCCACACAAAAACCACACCCTTTGAAGACCGCAGAAGACAAATAGAAGAGACAAAGAGCTTTCCATCCCCATAACCCACACATACCCTATCATGCAATGACTGCAAATGTCTCTTCAGATCCAACATAGGACTAAAGTAAAATTGCTAAATTTAGAGTCAATCCCCAGAAATTCATCAGTGTGACTTAATAATAGCCCCAAAGTGCAAGAGAAAATGGCAAAAAGAAGTCATAAAGTGCTTCCCTTCAGTGAAAAAAATAACATTTCTTGAATTAATAAGGAATGAAAAAAAATCCTATTCTGGGTTTGCTAAGTTCTATAATAAAAACAAATCTTTTATTTGACGAATAAATTTTATTTCCGTATATTGTTGCCTTTGTTTTATTATGAGTTTAAAATTTAATCTCTTCTTGTGGTTATTTCATAAATTAAACTCCATTGTATGTATGTATGTATGTATGTATGTAATTAAATGAATCTTCCTGAGTATGTTGGTACAGGGGTTGATCTAAAGTGTAATGAATGTGTTCGCATCTAAATTAACCTGGCCGTGCATCTTGAAATGGACCTCCAATCGGTTGTTAATTGGGGCAAGAACTTTAACGCCTCAAAAACTAAGCTACTCTCTATTAATCACCATAGAGATCCTTCCCTGCCCCCCATTAGAATGTCTGATAGTCAACTTCTTGAGAGCAACTCCCTGTGTCTACTCTGTCTCACGTTGACTGCTGACCTGAGATGGAACAAATACATTGAGTCAATTGCTTCTTCCACCGCGAGGAAAGTTGGCTCTCTGTGCCATGCCAGGAAATTTTTCTCCCTGGAATCGATACTTCAAATATACAAATCAACCATTCGTCCTTGCATAGAGTATTGCTGCCATATATGGTCTGGGGCACCTTCTGTTTACCTCGGAGTTCTTGACAAGATCCAGAGACAGATATGTAATGTAATTGGCCCTGATCTGGCGTCTCACCTATAGTCACTCTCTCACAAACGCGCCATCACCTCTCTCTGTCTTTTCTACAAATACTTTCACGGTAATTGCTCCGATGGTTCCCAGACTCCATGAATTCAAGCGCCCTACGAGGCTGGCATCCTGCTCCAACCCTTACACTATAGAAACTTTTAAATGTAGCCATCTCTTCTACTCTAATAGCTTCATACCTCGCACATCTCACCTGTGGAACACCCTTCCCAATTACTGTTTCCCTGAGAGCTATAATCTCCAACTATTCAAATGTAATATCAATCGACATCTCCAGTTACCTTGATCTACCCACTATCCTTCTCCTCATCCTTTCTTCTATCACTCCTATCTGCTCTCGCTCCAAATCTTCTGCAACCCCCTGCATCCTAGTGGCTTCACGCCTTGCTCGGGGCGTAATGCTTAAAAAAAAAAAAATGGGACACAGGCCTCAAAAATAATCAAAACTGTCACAGAAAGAAAAGTCATTCACTACACATTATATAGCATATCTACTTGCAGTGAGTATGGAAAAGAATGTGTCTCATTTGGTAGACTAAAATGTCACATGAAAGTTTACCAAAATCTTACAGTAACACCTATGCTCAGCATTGCCACATCTGCTCAAGAGGATGTAAGACCCTAGCAAAACTAAAAAGCCACATCTGCACAGATGATTATTCAAAGATAAATCAAGTGAATAGTATATATAGGTTTTGGTACTAGGCACAAGTCAAGCATCTTCTAGAAGTCTTGAAGATAAAGAGACTGGGATTATTCAGGGAATTTGAATGACTTTGTTGCAACTGTTTGTGACTCCATGTAAATAACAATCAAAAGATGACTTTAAAGAAATATGGTGGAAAGTTAGGGTTGTTCTGGTCAAGAATCCCCAAACATCCAGGTAGCATCTAGGATTAACATTTTATTATGGCCTTATGACTGACTAAACCTGAAAAATACCAAATTTTGGAAGGCTAAAGTCATATTTGTGTTTAAAACTAGATTAATGGAAGATAAAAAGATTTTTTTTTTTTTTACTGTTTCTCATTATGCACTCTAGTTTTCTTTTGATTACATTCCCTTGTTTCACAGATTCACTTTGTCATTTGCTGTCTTTTTTCTCTCCCTCTCTCTCTCCCTCCCTCATGTTCTCCTCTACCTTGCCTTCTCCTCACTCGTTCTCTACCTTGCCTTCTCCTCACTCGTTCTCTACTTCGCCTTCTCCTCACTCGTTCTCTACCTCGCCTTCTCCTCACTCGTTCTCTACCTCGCCTTCTCCTCACTCGTTCTATACCTCGCCTTCTCCTCACTCGTTCTCTACCTCGCCTTCTCCTCACTCGTTCTCTCCCTCGCCCTCTCCGCACTCATTCTCTCCTCTTCTCGTACTCTCCTCTTCTCTTTCTCTCTCTCTATCTGTTCCTCTGTCACTACATCTCGTTCTCTCTCTCTTTCACAGGTTTCCGTTCTCTCTCTCTTTCACAGGTTTCCGTTCTCTCTCTCTTTCACAGGTTTCCGTTCTCTCTCTCTTTCACAGGTTTCCGTTCTCTCTCTCTTTCACAGGTTTCCGTTCTCTCTCTCTTTCACAGGTTTCCGTTCTCTCTCTCTTTCACAGGTTTCCGTTCTCTCTCTCTCTCTTTCACAGGTTCTCGTTCTCTCTCTCTCACTGGTTCTCTCTCTCTCTCTCTCTCTCTCTCTCCCTCTCTTTCTCTCTCCCTCTCTTTCTCTCTCCCTCTCTTTCTCTCTCTCTCTCTTTCTCTCTCTCTCTTTCTCTCTCTCCTTCCCTTCTCTTTCTTTCTCTCTCTCTCCTTCTCTCTTTCTTTCTCTCTCTCCTTCTCTCTTTCTTTCTCTCTCTCCTTCTCTCTTTCTTTCTCTCTCTCCTCCTCTCTTTCTTTCTCTCTCTCCTTCTCTCTCTCTCTCTCTCTCCTTCTCTCTTTCTTTCTCTCCTTCTCTCTTCTTCTCCTTCTCTTCTTCTCTTTCTTTCTCCTTCTCTCTTTCTTTCTCTCCTTCTCTCTTTCTTTCTCTCCTTCTCTCTTTCTTTCTCTCCTTCTCTCTTTCTTTCTCTCCTTCTCTCTTTCTTTCTCTCTCTCTCTCTCTCTCTCTCTTTCTCTCTCTCCTTCTCTCTTTCTCTCTCTCCTCCTCTCTTTCTTTCTCTCTCTCCTTCTCTCTCTCTCTCTCTTCTCTCTCTCTTTCTCCTTCTCTCTCTCCTTCTCTCTGTCTCTCTTATGTTTACATAAACAGTTGGAATATTTCTTCCAGAGTATAGTGTGTAACTGTAGTGTACTAATGTTATTTCTTTTTGTTGTTGTTTTGACTCCCCCTCCTGTTGGGATGTAGGGCAAAGAATCTTCTTTCTGCGTTTGTGTTTGTGGTGGTTGGGGGTGATCATGGAAGGCCACAAACTTCACTGCTCTTGGAGTTGAAGGGTGAAAGAAAGCCGTATTGATGGTAAACTGCACCAAACCTTTTTGCAAAAATGGTGCCTCTATCCCAAGAATGTGTAAAACCAGAATAGGAGGAGGGTAAAAGGGGGGGAGGGGGTGAATTAAAAAAACAAGTCAATTTTTGTATATAATTCATTGGTTTCCAACTTCAGTCATGTTAGATTTTAACTCCCCCACCTCATCCTGACACGCAGGGAGAGTTAAAAAAAAATTTTTTTTTAGTTCACGTCCAAACTGAAAGAGGATGAAAGAGATAAAGGTGATGGGTGGGGAGACATTCCATAATCGCTGACAACAGGAAACACCACAGACATTATGGAGGAGAGCTTACACTTTAAATAAAGTAAATAAAATAAAAAGTATTTGTGTCTGAGAGATGCTAAAATGTGATGAGAGAGAGACCTGTTTATTTGTGTTTTCACAATAACACACCATAATATATTTCAAAGGTCTTTGTCGGTAATTAAAATTAAATGTGTAATTGCTCAGCATCTGCTGAAAGTCGACATTTATAAAATAAATTATCAGTAAAAACCTGTAAGAAAAATAAAAAAAAACTTTTAAAAAAAATTTACATAAATACTTTGATTGGGGGAGGGGGAGAAAAATGTACAAAATTTTCACTTGAATGAAAAAAGAAAAAAAAATGAAGCAGAAGTGAATACAGAATTTGTGGTACTTTCTATTATTAAATGTGGCTTGTAGCAGTGTCCATGGTATGTAGAATAGATATTGTAATGGTTATTATATACAGGTACCTCCAAAAAAAAAAGGGATGGATAAAAGGCTGTGGCAGACTTCACCACAGCCTTTTATCCCTTGTTTCTTAATCTAAAGTTAAATTAAAGAAACAGGGCTGATGCAGAAAAGGATAACCAAAAGACATTGTTACACATAAAATATGTATTTAACAAGATGTACAATATCAAACAACGATGTGAAAGAAAGCATGCATTTATGTAAGAAATGGTTGAATAAAACAAGTTGTCTCTCTTTATCTGTTATTTTAGTGTTCCAAAGTTCACTGGAAGAATGTTCATGAAAATCTTTTGTAATGTTTGTCTTGAAAGCTTTTGCTGTATAAGAAAAAATTATGTGAGTGTATACAAGGTAGGTTCAGCATGTGAGTAATGTGTGTGAGTGAGAAGGTTGGCACATGGTTTCAACTGTTGTGGATTTGTTTGGCAGTTGGATTCTCACTAAAAAGGGTTAGAAAATTCTTGCTTAAATAAGTGACTGTAGGCTCCAAGTCGCTGCATGGGAAGAATTATTCTTCACGTGCAGACAATCTGATTGGTTGGTATTGACCAATCAGCGAGCGAACTTTGGGGAGACTTAAGAAAGCTTTTGTGATCCGTTTCTCCCAAAAGTGCACAAAACTGACTACATGAAAATAGAGCGATTACAAAATTGTCACATTGCTGTGATTTGTAAATTGTCTATAATAACGTATAATTAACCAATGAATGCTTGGCGTATGTGATTTGTATTTTTGTATGTATGTAAGTTCATGCATAATAGATTCGCACAAGGCCATACCTAAGGTTTAAATTTAAATGTGTTTTATAAATGAAAAAGCTTTCTTGGTGCTTTTATTTTAGTTTTAATTCCAAGCTAATAAATTAGATTTAATATTTCCAATAAGCAAAATACTTTGCTGTATTAGTGCTAATCCACAAAAAACACATTCTAAATAATTTAAATACCTTCTTTGAACATAAATTTTACCTTCAATTGAAATATAATGGCCTAAAACTAATCTGAATTAAAAGAAAAATTAATTTCCATATATAAATAAATAAATTTTTTAGGTATTTTTAAAATATTGGCACATTATTTTTTTTTTTGTCACTTATCAAACTGATGTTGTAAATGTAAACAACAAATTTAAAATTCTCCTTTAAATCCAATATGTGTCCTATTAACAAAAGGACTGACATGTTTACACAGTTGAAATAAAAGGAAAAGACATTAAATGTAATTTACATTAGATTAATGTGAATAATAAATTTTAGAAAAATGACAGTGCTATATAGGAATAAAGTGTCACTGCTGACACTGGAGTTTGAACACAGATCACCAGAGAGCAAACACAGGCAATCCCATTTTGAATAAGTAGATCCTGTGATGGTAAAAGAAATGTATGGGAATTAACATGGTGTCTAAGTGATCACTGTATGGATTACTATTTGGATCACTATACAGTGGTTACTTATCAAGCAAGTATTATTAAAACTATCTTTCAAAAATAAAATATACTTTTCTGAAATGTTCTTTGAGGAACATTAAATGATTTAAAGTTTAATTAATCTGAATTAAGACAAATATTATTTATTTACTTTTAGTTAAAAATATTACAGAAAAGCATTTTTTTGACATGGTGTTTCTCTGATGTTTTTGGTAAATTTTAAGTCAGGAGGACATAATTAAAAAATATCTTGATAAATGTATCATGGATGTCTCTTTTATATAATAAATGAGCAGTAAAGAACTAAATATGATATCCCTAAGCCTGGGCAGTGGAACAAGAACAGTTGACCCCCCCCCCCCAAGATTATATAATAGGTTCAGTTCAAATTTACCTGTAAGTTATGCAAATCAACATACACTTGATAAAAGTTGAAACATTGTGATAACAACAACAAAGATGAGGACAATATTCCACATGAAAATAATATAAATAATGCTTTCATGTGTATTGTAAGCACATCACTAAGTCTGTACCTTAATGTTGAGAAACATTTATATTCTATTATTTATTATATATATATATATATATATATATATATATATATATATATATATATATATTCTGTTTTTACAGTGGCTTGGTATATTCTGACTTTGCAGGCATTACATTGAGAATATTTTGTTTCATTTTGTATACATAAAAGTAACTGAAATGATCTTGGGAACTGAAACCATGCACAAACTACACAACCCTTTCTAAACATATATGGAGAAATTAAAAAGAAAATACACCAAAAATATCATGGAAAATAAGAAATACAACCTCAGCCTACAACAATAAATCCAAAGAGTGTAAAGTTTGTCTGGTGGAGAAAATATCCATAATCACCTTCAGAGGCCAACAGAAATGACTAAATAAGCAAATAAGATAACCAACCTTCTTCAAAAGGAAAATATAAAATAATTAAACTGTATGAATGCCACATGCATAACCACAACAAAGGAAATTTAATAATAATTATCAACAGCAATTAATTAATAAATGAATACAAAATAGCCTAAGTAATAAATGAGTAAAAAGTTAAACAACCTGATGCAATAAAATAACTGCATTCTGGCCCGTAATTATTTCTGCTCAATAACCTTTAGGATAATTTAAAATATAATCATTCCCACCTACCCAATAAACAAGAAATACCTGACCATATGCTACCCATATGCTCCATTGGTTAGCATATATAAATAGTCCAGATACTGAATGACCTGAAGATTACATTCAAGCATGAAAAAGACCATCATTATTCAGTGTTAACCTCAGTGTCCAATTTGATATTTATACATGCTCTATATCCTTGATATTGAGCACTTTTAGTTGTATACATTAATATAGCATGACTTAAAATTATTTTTTATTTTGTGTGTGTGTGTGTGTGTGTGTATTTGTGTTTTGAACAATAAAAAAAATATTAAAAAATTCAGACACACTTTTATATTAATATTTTACCATTTTATTATTTAGTTAGATTCCTTGACTAGTTTTGGCCAGCACGGCCATCATCAGGAGAGAAAGAATTTCTGCTTGTTAGTAGCAGTGAACTACTGGGATGAATCATATATATATATATATATATATATATATATATATATATATATATATATATGTGTGTGTGTGTGTGTGTTTCATTAAATAATATAGACAAGACTATCATTGTTGCTATGTATGTATATTGTTTAATTTATTGTAATGTACTCTGATGATGGGTTATGTAAGGTGAAAGCTTAGATAGGATTAAAAAACATGTATCAATATGGTTATTTTCTTTCGTCTTTCAATGATAATGTTATTAAGCTTATCAGATGATATGAAAGGAATTTGCTTAAAATAAACAGACAAAACTTATCTATATTATTTAATGAAAAAATGGTGCCTAAATACACACACACACACACACACACACATATATATATATATATATATATATATATATATATATGATAGTCTTGTAGATTTTTTTCTGTTAATTTTATTTTTTTTCCCTACTGATCCTTGAGACAAAGAAAATACATCCAAAGTTTATCAGATGTGACGTACATCTGTAGAAGGTAGGAGAACCAAGATGTAGAGATCAAAACAATAAAGATGAGGATATTAACTTAATCCCTTGAACAGTGCATCAGCTAAGAACATGAGACAATAGATGCAAGGTGCAAACTGTTGAATGAAAAGGATTTTACCAAGAAAAGTTAAGGAGACGAGTTTGTATGAGTTTTCAAATAACTGAAAGGCATTGAAAAGACATTTGATCTTGTGTGGCTCATGTGTACACATGTGAAATATTTACTCACTATCTGACTTCAGATAATATATTACCATAAAAATAATAAAAAAAAAAGAATGTAGCTTAAAATTCCACAGTGACTTTTGGGAAAGATGTACCCCCACCCTTAATTTGAAAGGCCCCATATTTTTCCAGGAAAAAAAGAAAGAAAAAAATGTCTGTTAGGAATTACTCATGACTTAAGTGTGAAGGATGATCCTGAAATAGTGTGTGATAGGTGGGGGCTGTGAATAGGAAGGATAGGTCTACTTAAATAGAAGCCTAGTTTTACCCCCCACTAAAAAGAGAAAAGT